TTCCAGCCTCGCACTTCCTCCCTCCCCCCTGGCTCCGAAATCCAAACTCCATCTCCGTGGTGTGGTGTGGTTTTCCTGTCCCACCCGCTCCCAAACGCAGTCAAAATAAAGGCAGCTCAGGCCAAGGATTCCACTCTTACGGTTTTCACAGGTGGACTGCAGGAAAATACTGGTTCACTTTGAGTTTTGACCCCCTGAGGCCACCGCACTGCCCAGTTTTAAGGGCTATTTTCTGAGCAATGTTCTAATGTAGTTTCCTCGTCAAAAACAGACCTGGAGTTGTGTTTTGTTTCATTCACACTTGTTTAACGCACAAATCCGGCAGTTTTAGCCTGAGTTCTTCTGTATTTTTAAACTCCACCCACCTTCACTTGAATCATTTGGTTCATTTTAGTCCTGCAATTGTTAATTATGTTGTAATTTAGCTTGAAAACTACCACTGTATCATGACATCACAAGGTGGAACAGAGCATTTTGAGCTTTGGAGATGTAGACAGACTGATAATAAAGTTACTCAAACATGTGAATGAAACAAAACACAACTTCAGATATGTTTTTTTTTATTATAACATGGATTAAAGCTCACAAGAGTCAATTTTGCGTAACATAGGACCTTCATGTTAGTCTGATTCATCAGCCGGTTTCACTTCGTAGACCTTCTGACCTCACATTAGGCATTAGGAGTCGTTCGCTCGACGAACAGGCAGACAGGTACTTTTTTTTATTTAACCAGTTACTGCTATTTGGTCGTGACGTATGTAATGCGCCGGAACGCTCAGTGGTGTCCAAGTAATCGCCGGCACAACAGCAAAAAAAGCAGAGAGTGAACATGTCTGTCAACGATCATTGTCGTTTCTGCGAGATGAACTTGCGAATTAAAGGTGCAATAAAAAATGCGAAGTTTGTATTTGTCAAAGGAAGTTCAAAGGAGGAAAGCGTACGCAGTCACAGCTGACTGGCCGGTGTGCGTTTTACATCTTCTGAGGTTCTTGCAAACCGTCTAGTGCACAGGTGTCAAACATACGGCCCGGGGGCCAGATCCGGCCCTCCAAGACCTTGGCTGATTTTCTACTAAAATATTTTAATGATATTTTCTATTAAAATCTTGTTAATTTTCTGTGGTGTTTATCACAGCAGCGTCTCCAGCGTCTCTGTACGTGGCCCCTCCCACCAGAGCAGCACAAATGAAGACTTGTCTCTTTCCAAACGCTCTTAAAGGACGATCGTTTTGACTGTTGACCGTGACACCCTCATCAGAAAAATGTCCAACATGAGAAAAGTGGAGCCGAGTGCAGGATTTTACAACAAAAATTTACTTATTCCTATTTACAAACAAGTTCATGTTAAAACATTGTGTTGAAATTACTTTTTTTTTTAAGTTTCAGGTTGTTCATAATATTATAATATATTGTAAAAGAAAGAGTTTATCAATTAAAAAAAGATTTCTGTAATAGATTTGTGTTTCTCTGCACAAATATTTGAACTTATTATTATTTTTGGGGTTTATATGACATGAGTTTTCTGATCCGGCCCCTTTGGGATCAAAGTCGGTTGGATACGACCCTTGGACCAAAATGAGTTTGACACTCCTGGTCTAGTGTATCTGATTCCTGACCTAGTCACTGGAGAGAAATTAAACTGAGCGGAAGACACTAGGTGGCGCCTTACACAGCTCGTGTATCAGGTCTAGGGCTGAGGATCAAGTTGCTTGATTGATTGATTATTTATTTCGGTCACGGTCATATTTAACATCCACAGACCGAAAAGGTGCAGGCTGAAGCTTAAACCTATTATGCTTTTACCCTTTATTCCTCATCTTAACACCAGTTCATCTTCATACACCAGCTGACACGATACATATCTCGATACAGTGCACTTTTGATTCGATACCGATACATTTCAAAGTGATTTGATACGGTTCAATAAAAAAAATAAAGGCTAAATCATGGCTGTGATACTAAAAGTCTTTGTTAAACCACTTCTTCTGCAAAGTTCATATGAAACACAAACATTTGATTCATCAAAACAGTGAAAATGTCAAATTTGTCACATAAAAGAGTTTCCTTCCACTAAACAAACCACAGACTGTAGCTCTGTGACAAAATAATTTAGTAAAATATACCAAAAATTACTCTTGTCGATATATCAATACAGCAGCCCACAACATCGATACTGTGTCATCACATTAAGCACAATACGATATATCGATATTTTGATATTTTTGCACATCCCTACGTACAACTGTAAAGAAATAAACGCTACAGGTCTGAATCTAATCCAGGCCCAGAGGCTCGGTGCAGTTACGACGGCGCTCGATGGCGTTATTATGCGGGTCGATGTAAACAAAAACTTTTTCGAAAATGGAGGGAGGGAAATATTCGTTTCTCAACACTCCCGACTATGTGCAAACGTAGCCTAAGCTCTACCCGCGCGGGATAAGTACAACCTGGGGACGTCTGGTAATTTGCAAATTGCCGCCCCACCTCTGTGATACTTGCAGCGGATTTGCGCGGGATAAGCAGAGTCCGTAAATTTCTTTAATTTACTGACACTGACACAGAGACTGAAAGAGAAAAGACCATAAAAACAAAAGAAAGAGATCGAAAAGGCGCAAAATTACAACAACAGTTACAGCAGATTCACACGGGACGAGTTTTATCACCGGACGTCTGTGTTTGGCGAAATACAGTAGGTAATTTACGTCGGAATTTATACTTTACAAATTACAGACGTGGAGCATTCGCACGGGATTAAGATCTCAGGCGACTCCGTAATTATTACAAATCACCAAAGGACCAAAGGTAAAACTAATCCCGTGCGAACTTGGCTTTAGAGTGAAATATGTTTTCTCCTGTAACTCGTAAAAGCGGCTCTTAAGCGTCGGTGCTTTAAAGTCGTTATATCGTTGTCTGGGAGGGTGTTTTGAGTGAGCACGTCCCTAAAGCAGCGAGTAAACACACGCGGGGGGCCGAGCATTTCCATCGCGGCTCGTCTCCGGTGGCGCCCGTGTTTGTTACTCATTCATAAAGATGTTTGTTGTGGAGCAGCGGGGCCCTGTCATCACTGTAATGCTTCACTGTTTCTACGGCAACAATTGACCCACACGCACATAAATACACACATGCGAACACAAACACACACACACACACACACACAGCCCTGGGCCCCTCTGCTCTAACGCGTGTGGGAACGAGCGGCTCAATACAGTGAACTGCAGTAACCCCGAGCTCCGGTGATGTAAGTGGAAAAGCTCGGATCATTAGGCGATCGGTTTCCGTCGTGTTTTCGGATTTGACGATGCCACAGATTGATTTAAAACACTCGCTTTGTTTCGTTTGTTTATTTATGCTGACAGAGGAGACGGTGAACTTCGGGCCCGTTTTTGTTTCGTGTAAATACTGGTTGCCCACATCGAAAACCAAAACATGCACAACAGACTTTTCGCGATTATGTCACAAACCGGGAAGACGTTTGGAAAGATGCGATTACTGATTGTGAAGTACCATAGTTTTCGGAGTATAAATCGCTCTGGAGTAAAGTCGCACCAACCAAAAAATGCATAATAAAGTAGAAAAAAAAAACATATATAAGTCGCACTTTTTGGGGGAAATTAATTCTATAAAATCAGAGACCAGGAACTGACATTTAACCATAAAAGCCAAGTTCTAGTAAAAACAATAGAAGAGAGAACAACAGACTGTTAACGTCACATATGAACAGTTCTTCAGATAAACTATAACATAAACAACAGAACAGAACAAGTTTAACAAACTCTCCATCTCACTCCAAATCACTAAATCCATTCAATTCTTCATCCTCGGTGTCACTTCTGAGCAACTCGGCCTCGACCTGTGGAGGTAAACGGCTGTCGTCAGACTCAGCATCAGCACGGCCCTCAAATGCCCCCCCCTGCCGCCGACACAGTTAATTGTCCATAACAACCCCAAACTTACCTGGTTTTCTTGCGCAGCTAATTAACTGACAACGTTTTCCGACTAGGCTGTTTTTGAACCTTCTTGCCTTCGTGTTGGATGTTGTTACATTCTGAACATTCTGCCATTGCCCGATGTTATTTCAAAGTCATAGCCTCACTCCATCGGTCTTTCTTTAAGTTTTAAATCCCCCGAGTGGCAGTCTACGATATAATGTCTGCGTGTTTTAAAATATATCTGATATCGAAACAAACAAAAAAAGCATAACTAAATAAATCTGGCCCTATAGCCACTTACGTGTTGGCAAACAGCTGAAATAAATTAGAAATAATAAAATAAACTGCATATAATATGTTCCTCGTAAACCTTAGGCATCAATAACCCGACACAACCTTAACCTTCAGAACATAAAAACGAGGTCAAATGGGCTAATTAAGGACATGACGTACACTTCATACTACAAGTATAAACAATGACACTCGTCTTTTCAGATGTAGGTAACAATACTAACAATAACTTTTTTTAGTAGTTAAACCGCCACCCGCCTGAATTTAATTAAAATATAATTTTTCGTCACGTCATCCGCCCGACCCGCAGATTAACCACGGATACCGCGGTTGTAACCGCAATCCGCGCATCTCTACCACACACAAGACTAGAGCGCCCCCTGTCTGTCAGTGTGAACATTTTAATATATAAGTCGCAGGAAACACCCAAACCGTGAAAAAAAGTGCCACTTATAGTCGGTAAATGTGATCATCGGTATGTGTATGTGCTGTTCTTGAATCGAGCTCCTCATATCTTCCAATCACATGTACGCAGTCCAGTGGGGAAATTATGAAAACTGAGGTATGGTTGTAATTGTTGATTAGATGAACATAACAGAACGCTACAGTGACATGGAGATGAAGAAAACTGGGACATTTTCTAATTTTTCCTAGATTTTGTGAAACTCTGTTCCTTTAATCCAGCAACATTAAGGATGGGTCAAATGCGAAGGACAAATTTCTCGACATTAACGTCAAACTTAACGACTGACACTCTTTCCCGTTTCTGTTCTGTCTTCAGGATCTGTGCGGTCACCACTCCTGTGACACTCTGGGCATGGCGGACGTGGGCACGATCTGTTCCCCCGAGAGGAGCTGTGCTGTGATCGAAGACGACGGACTCCACGCTGCCTTCACCGTCGCCCACGAAATCGGTAAAACTATTATTATTTTAATTAATAAGCTACTTGTCAAATTCAGTTTACTGCAAGATTCCTAGAAGTTTAAAACAATAAAGCTCTATTTCAACTCTCCTGACATAACGACGACATAATGATCATTCCGGAGTCACAGAACTGTAGTTACTCGGGATGCAACGGTATATCGTTTTCCCACGATTCGATACGTATCTCGATGCACGAGTCGCAATATTGATTCGATTTCGATACGCTTTATGACACGCAAGAAATCTCAAGACATTTCATACAAGAAAATGTTTTTGTTTACATCTGGTTTTCCCGCACGTGCACAGTGTCTGGTAGGCAAAAAGTCAGTGGGGCTGCTCGTTTGTGTCGACAGTTGCGTTTGTCTGACATGAGATAACTCGTCTTATTTTGAAGTAGGTTAATTGTTTTGACATGACTTCATCATCTTACTCACTCACTGAATGTTGAGGATCAAAAACGTTACTTTGAAAGGTTAAAACTCGCCGAAAATTGTTGACGATGCTGATGTTGACTTGTTGATACTGACACTTTTTGCTTACCAAAATCATGTCATTGTGTTTTCTCGTATACAATGCAATACGGTAGAACTACTGCAAAGTTGTAGTTTTTATGTGAAGTGTTTAGTTCATTTGGTTCATTGATTTACAGCTCAGAATTTTTATTCAGTGAAAACAAGAACAGAGTTTCTCAGGTTGTTTTATATTTTATAATACACCAGTCGACTCTTCATATAGACTGTAGGAGAGTTACACAACAACTGCCTTCTACAGTCTGTGCTCTTACAGACACACTGCGCTCCCATCCTCTTTCTGGAGACTCAAACTACATAGAAATGTCTCAGAGTTTTATGAGTAAAAATTATGAGATAGAGTCATAAATCACAAGTCTCGTCACGGGCGCGAATACGAGCACATTCGATTAAAGCTGATTTAAAGCCAAAAGCTATTCTGAAGTATTTAAAAGTTAATATCTTTGTCATTCCTGGGTCTACTGACGTAAAATAAAGTGACTGAAAGATAAAACCCTCCTCTGTTAGAATATTTCAGCTGTAAGTCTCTATGGAGCTGTTCTCTTGTTGCATCTGAGGAGGACGTCATGATAACTGTTTTCCTTTCAGACCAAAATAAATGTCAACACAGAGCGCTTGGACTGACACGTGCGTATCGAATATCGTGATATCGTATCCTTATTGTCAAAGTTCTCTCAATAATATCCATCACAATATATCGAATCACAAGACTCTTTGCTTAAATGAAGAGTTATGGTGCAGCAATAACAAAAAAAGACAGAGGGAACTACATAGACCATGATCCTTTGCTCCATTTCAGTGTAGATTACAAGAAGAAATAACAGTTCTAACACTTTTAAGTCTTAGTTCTTTGGATTAAGACTTAAAAGTAAACTATTCACAGTTTTGTTTGCCTCTACAAAATAAATAAATATCAATAAATATCATATCGTGAGATGTATATCGTGAAAATATCGTACAGAGACATTTGAATATTGTTGCCTCCCCACGATATTGTGAGCTTTTCCATGATATCGCAATAAATATCGTATCGTAAGACTTGGATATCGTTACACCCCTAATATCGAATATCGTTGCATCCCTCGTAGTTTTATTTGTAACTTTAGATTTATTCAAACCTACTGTCCAATCACTGACGGCTTCAAAAACAAACTAAACAATGTAAAAAAAAAAACGTAAATAAACTTTTAAGGACATTTATGAAAACGCCGTCGTCCCATTTGTCATTTCGACATATTTCAAGATGTATTTTTCCTCGAGTCGTATCTAAGCAGCAAAACAATCAACAATCAAAAATCCAAAATATGGAACAGGTGTCGGCGTGTGCAGAAATGTGAGCGGAGACAAACCTGAGACGGAGACGGAGGAGAGACGACACGACGGGACACGTTTAAACCGACTCGTCTGCTTTCACTACAAATGTGTCTCTACAAATAACTCTCTAGAAATGTGTGTAATATAATCAGAGTAATACAAGACGGGATTAAAGTTAAGACCGGTTTAGTCCTGTTTGAATTCCACCGAGCCTCGTCACAGAGCAGATGTTTACCTACAGGAACGAGGCCAATCTATTATTAGTCAAAGTGTGTCGAAGAACCGTGCACGGACCAGTCACTTAAGCCCCGTCAAATTATCACTAATCCACCGATTCTGATTTTGAATGACATAAACATGACCTAATTATATAAACAAACGCAACTTTTACTGGCAACAACTTTAAGGATGAGCTGGAATTTTGGTGTTTTGGTTGCAGACGATTAGCCAATCAGAAAGCAGAATGAGCCTCACATGACCTGGTCTAGTTCTTGGTCTAGTTCTTGGTCTAGTCCTGCTGTAGCCCTGGTCCAGTCCTTGGCTATTCCTAGTTCAGGTCCTGGTCTAGTCCTGGTCCAGGCCTAGTCTAGTCCTAGTTTAGTCCTGGGATAACCCCTGTTCTCTGGTCCAGTCCTGGTCCAGTTCTGGTTTAACCCCTGTTCCATGATCTAGTCTTTGTCTAGTCCTAGTCTAGTTCTAGTTTAAGTCCTGGTCTAAACCCTGTTCTCTGGTCTAGTCTTGGTCCAGTTTTTGTCTAACCCTTGTCCTTTGGTCCAGTTCTGGTCTAACCCCTGTTCTCTTGGTCCAGTCCTGGTCCAGTTCTGGTCTAGCCTCTTTCCCTCTGGTCCAGTCCCGGTCTAACCCCTAGTCTAGTCCTAGTTTAGTCCTGGTCTAACCCCCTTTCTCTGGTTTAGTCTTGGTCCAGTTTTTGTCTAACCCTTGTCCTTTGGTACAGTCCTGGTCTAAACCCTGTTCTCTGGTCCAGTCCTGGTCTAGTCTTGGTCCAGTCCTGTCCAGTCCTGGTCTAAACCCTGTTTTCTGGTCCAGTCCTGGTCTAGTCTTGGTCCAGTCCTGGTCCAGTCCTGGCCTAACCCATGTCCAGCAGTCCAGTCCTGGTCTAGTTCTGGTCCAGTCCTGGTCTAACCCCTGTACTCTAGTCCGTTTCTGTTCTATACCCTGTTCTCTGGTCCATTCCTGGTCAAGTCCTGGTCTAAACCCTGTTCTCTGGTCCAGTCCTGGTCTAGTCTTGGTCCAGTCCTGGTCCAGTCCCGGTCTAACAGTTCCTGTCCTATCCCACAGGTCACCTTTTGGGCCTGTCTCATGACGACTCGAAGTTCTGTGAGGAGCGTTTCGGGGTGAACAGTGACAAGAGGCTCATGTCGTCCGTCCTGACGTCCATCGACGCGTCCAAACCCTGGAGCAAGTGCACGTCCGCCACCATCACGGACTTTTTCGACGACGGAAACGGTAAAAATATTTACAAACAGATTCAGTACGCAAATGTAATAAATAAAACATGTCCTAGCTCAGTTCTGGTTTAGTCCTGGTTTAGTCCCTGGTTCAGTCCTGGTTCAGTCCTGGTCCATTCTTGGCCCAGACCTGGTTTAGGCCTGGCTTAGTCCTGGTTTAATCTTGGTTTAGTCCTGGGTCAGATCTGGTTTACTCCTGGTTTAGTTCAGTCCTGGTTTAGTCCTGGTTCAGTCCTTGTTAAAATCTGGTTTAGTTTTATCTTAGTTCTGGCTTAGTCCTGGTTTGGTCCCTGGTTCAGTCCTGGTTCAGTCCTGGTTGAGTCCTGGTTGAGTCCTGGCTCAGATCTGGTTCAGTCCTGATTTACCAGTCTCTGGTTTAGTTCAGTCCTGGTTCAGTCCTGGTTTAGTCCTGGTTCAGTCTTGGTTCAGTCCTGGTTTAGTCCTGTTCAGTCCTTCAGTCCGTTCAGTTGGTTCAGTCCTCGTTCAGTCTTAGTTTAATCCTGGTTTAGTCCTGGTTCAGTCTTGGTTTAGTCCTGGTTTAGTCCTGGTTCAGTCTTGGTTCAGTCCTGGTTCAGTCCTCGGTCAGTCTTAGTTTAATCCTGGTTCAGTCCTGGTTTAGTCCTGGTTCAGTCTTAGTTCAGTCCTGGTTCAGTCTTAGTTCAGTCCTGGTTCAGTCTTAGTTTAATCCTGGTTTAGTCCTGGTTCAGTCTTAGTTCAGTCCTCTTCAGTCTTAGTTCAGTCCTGGTTCAGTGGTTCAGTCCTGGTTAGTCGGTTCAGTCCGGTTCAGTCTTAGTTTAGTCCTGGTTTAGTCCTGGTTCAGTCTTAGTTTAATCCTGGTTTAGTCCTGGTTCAGTCTTAGTTCAATCCTGGTTCAGTCCTGGTTCAGTCTTAGTTTAATCCTGGTTTAGTCCTGGTTCAGTCCTGGTTTAGTCCTGGTTCAGTCCTGATGTTGACCTCACAGCTCCGTCCACAGACCCAAACCAAAACAAAGGGAACTAAAAATGTCTTAACGCTTCTTTATTTACGTGTCGCCGTGGAGACACAAACAGTGACTGCTGCTTCTAGAGTTTTTAATTAGCTTGTGGTCACACGGGTTTAATTAGAGGAGATGGAAATCGTTTTAGAAATACATGACGCCGCTCGGTGCAGTCAGGACGTTTACGCTGATCCCGCATTTACTCAGCCATACGTAAGAGTCGTACAAAATGCAAAATGTGACTCGTTTTTGTCCCGGTTTTTATGTTTTTCTTATCAAAAACACTATTTACTAGACAATGTGGGTGATGTGTCTTGCTTAAGGACACAACAGTAATGGAAGAAGTACTCAGTTTAGTTAAAAGTACAGATACAGGAGTTAAGAAATACTCAAGTAAAAGTATCATATAAAAAAACTAAAGAGTAAAAAGAATTATAGTGAGTTTTGTTCAACAGAAAAACAAGCCGGTGACTGATCCTCCTCCAGAAAAGTTACACAGTGGACCTTTAAAATAGTGGTTCTGTGTGGAGTTTGCATGTTCTCTCTTGGTACTTTCAGGCCGACAAAGAACCGTGCCGGTGCCGGTTCTCACACGTAATCTCGAACCGACTGACGTATTCAGAGCATTTGGGAAGCGAAAAGTTGGTTCATGATGGGAACCAAGTAAAACCGTATTTTCCGGGCTATTAGACGCACTCTTAAGCCTCTAACCGCATCAAAAAACGACTGCGCGCCACAATCCAGAGCGCCCCATACATGAATCCACTCGGGTGTCCCAGCACGACTTCGGTAAACTACAAAGCCACAAACACACACGGAGCAGACAGCGACCGCACAGCGAAACACACCCACAGACACACTCATCACTCCACGCCGACGAGGAGGAACGAACCGAAAAAGCGAGTGAGTCCCCCCCCCCCCCCCCCATGCGCCGCAGTTGAACGAGGCCCAGAGTCGCCGTGAACGCGCCAAACGGAGTCCGACTGACCCATCGAACTGTTGTGTTTCGTTTAAAGTCCGGTGCTGTTTATTGATGAAAAAAGTTTGAAAATAGACCATTTAATGACAGTGCGTCTTATAATCCAGAGCGACTAATAGCCCGGAAAATACAGTACTTGGTTTTCTAAGAGAATCATGACGACACAATAGATGTCAGTAGGTTTGTCCGGGTCACATGCGGGAAAGTAAACAAAGAAAACGTGTGTGGAAAATGGTGGAGAAATCAAGCGACAAGAAGTTTGTGCAGTGGTCAGCGGAGGAGACCAAATATTTGCTGAATCCGTGTTCGCCCGGTAAGGTTACATCTTTGGACTGCCGCCACATTCTCCACAGCAGATGTTGCAGCAGAGCTCACATGGTGCAAAATTCAACATCGGTCGTCAAGCAGCTCAACAGTAGGCGGGTACTTTTTTTATTTAACCAGTCGCTGCTATTTGGTCGTGACGTATGTAATGCTCCGAAACGCTCAATGGTGTCCAAGTCATTGCCGGCACGACAGCAAACAAAGCAGAGAGTAAAAATCCTCGATCAGGGGAATCGTTGCCAACACAGAATGTCTGTCTTCGTTTACATCCATCTCAGCGCTTTGTTTACTGTTGTGCTGTTCCACAAAAGGAACCCAGACAGACGCGACGAGTTTGACGTCACGACTTCACAGCTCTTCGCGGTCTACAAGTTCGGGTTTCTTGCAAATCATCTAGTGTATTCCGATTCCTGACCTCGTCGCTGGAGAGAAATGAAATTGAGCGGAGGCAGTAGGTGGTGGTCCTGACCGAGATTAGCTCAAGTTCTGGAGATGGTCCCACTGCTCCTGACAGGTTTAACCCAGAGACACTGAAGGACGGGTCAAATGCAGAGGACACATTTCACTACAGGGACAGTAAATGTACCTCAACTTAAATACAATGGCTACAGTTAAAAGTATGAATTATGCTTAGTATAGCTCAGGGGTGTTCAAACTTTTTTCATCAAGGGCCACATATCTAAACACAGATGAGGCAGAGGACTGATCAAGGGCCGTAGACGGGTGCACAAAACTGTGAATAACTGAAATATGTGCATGTTTAACACGTTAGAATGACCTTTTATTCATGATCCAGAGGAGAAGATCCTCAAAACCAAACACTAAATATTAAATATTAACTTCATCAAAGTAGATTTTCAAAAAACTTGCAGTAAAAAGTAAATTTTTTATTGAGGCAAGGTAATTTGGGCCAATACACCTAGAAAAATTTGTCTGAGGGCCAGATTTGGCTCACGGGCCATAGTTTGGACATGCCTGGTACAGATTATTATTTGTTGAATCTCTATCTAATTCTCTCTCCCTTCCCTCCTCTTCTTCTCCTCTTTCCTCTCGTCTCTCAGCCGAGTGTCTGCTGGACTCTCCTCGCGTCCCTCTCTTGGGCCCAGAGGAGCTCCCCGGTCAGTCGTACGATGCGGTGCGTCAGTGCCGTTTGGCGTTCGGTCCCGAGTACACGGTGTGCCCGGGCATGGACGTGTGTGCCCGTCTGTGGTGCGCCGTCATCCGCCAGGGGCAGATGGTGTGTCTGACCAAGAAGCTGCCGGCGGTGGAGGGCACCCCCTGCGGCAAAGGACGGATCTGCCTCCAGGGAAAGTGTGTGGACAAGACGCGCAAGAAGCACTACTCGGTAAGAACAGGAGGAGGAGGAGGAGGAGTAGATCATTCTGTCATTTTGCAGCACTACAAAACAAAACAAAACAAAGACTACAACCCCATGAATCATGACCAAAAGGGTTTATGCTGAAGTACTTAAAATGCCAAACTCTATTAAACAATGATAGAATTCCAAGAAAGAAAAGCAGCATCTGAACAGCAAGTTTGCTTTTACAATTTCACTTACGACTTACTGCATATATAAGAGACAAAATATAACTTAAAACAACCAAATTTCATGCATAATTCATTTATTCCAGGGCTCAAAACATAATGCTGTATACTCTTTTTCTTCTACAGTGTTTTTAAAATCATCACTCAGGTTGTTCCACAGACTTAACCCCTCGAACAGAAATACAATCACTTTTTTTCTTAGTTCTTAGTTCTTTTTTTTTTTTTTTTTTTTTTTTTTAAAGATGTGTGTTCTTCTATGGTTATTCTGACTTTCTCTCTGCTCGAATAAATCTTGTACATCACTACAACTGGACTCAGGTCAACACGATCAAAAAACGTCACATTTTATACAATATGTCAATGAACACGAAAAATATTAGCAAAATGTGCATAGACTAAGTTTACGTTTACACTGAAACTCAAAGTCACTGTATCGGAAACAATTTGCGTCCAGACACGTCGTTTCTGTGTCCTCAAGTCTTCCCTATCCACACAGCTTTGCGCATATTTGTTTACATTTTACAGAAATGAAACTTAAAACCATGTGGCTAATTTGCATAAACTGAGCGCTCATAAAACAGCTCGCTCCTTGTGCATTGATGTGGTTCAGTTTCTGTCAGACTAAAGGAGGAATATGAGTGTTTTTTTCTGTGACAGAGGGATGTTCTGCTGATGGTGAGTCTGTTCTGTGTAAGTATTTCTAGCTCCGCTGTTTCCCGTTTGTCTGTGGTTTGTTTAAACAGTTTTCCGCAATATCGTCACATGACCGATGTCACGAACCCAGAGAATCGGGAAGGAGCGAGTCACAGTGACGTGGTCCAATAAGGACACGACTAGATCTCCTACGTCAGAGTATCAGTGTTTTCAGGCGTCCACACGGTGCCGGATCAGATCTGTGCTGAGCTGAATTCGTGGGAGCTGGAGGCACCAGATCGTTCCGTCTCTGGAGCCGTTTTCCATCGGATTAGTGTGAACGAACACTGCATCCACAACGAAAACTAATCAAATACGTATTAGTGTGGACGGGGTGTAAGTTTAACACAGGAACTGTTGCTGACAGCAGGAAATGGGAAGAGGTTTTGCTTTAAGTAACAGCCTCTTGTAGCCAACTGTGTGATGGACGTGTGTGGATTGAGTCATTACACTGACCTGTGGCTGAATTCTTGCGCAATTACACATTTGGAGCCTAAAACGTAGCTTTGCTCTGTGACTCTCAGTGGGGTGAACTCATTTTTGCACCACCCTAATTTGACGAAAACTGAAAATTATGTAATGTAAGTTGTATTATTAACCTTAGTTTTTAGAGCTAAGTTCAACAGATGCTCTATTAAACTTCTGTCTGTGCACATTTAGCAAATATGTTTTTCTTTTCATTGACATATTGTATAAAATGTGACTTTTTTCATTTATCCTGAGCTCTGTAAGGACTTTTAGCTGAACAAAAAGAGGATTTGTTGGTGCATAGTAATTCACATGATTAATAATCCTGATAACCTTCATTTATAACCAACCAAACTATTACTAAATTTTAAAGAGGAGATTTTTTCTGCATTTGAGGGACATGTGATACAAATCAAAGTTTTTGGACGGAGGTTTTTCTCGCTCTGTTGTCCGGTTCCAGACACTTCTGGACTCGATCGGAATATAGAAGAGACTGTCAGCTCTGGCAAAGCAGCATTTTATTTGAGCGGAGCTGAACTCTGTGGTCTCTGCAGTTCCCTCTGCACCAAAACAATTAATTTAAGCAAAGAACAAAGTCATTCAATACACTGCGATGGCCAAACTGCGACTACTACTACTTTTCCATTATAAATCTATAGTCCACCACATTCAGCTAAAGCCATAAACTTAAAACCGTAAGTCCTGTAAAGTTGCCCACTTCAAAATCCCACAGCGTCCCCTTTGAGGTTTAATTTTCCATGTAATAAAACCTCATTACTAAGTGTTCAAACCCTCTGTTTATGAACACAAGCTGAGAAAGACTAAGGGCTGCACAGTTCCACATTAAATAGGTCACCCTTTGGTCTCGCTCCAGTTCTAAAATTCGGCTCCAAAATGTGAATAATTAAACGTCATGTCGGAAAAATGTTCTGGGAATATTTGTTCCCAATTTTGACATTCCTTGTGGATCTCCTCCCTGTTACACGCCCTGGTCCGGTCTGCCAAGCGAGGAGTTACTCGGGTTTAAGTGTTACATCTGTACCAGGACTAACTGATGGAAAACAACAGGGTAAATATGGAACGCACGGCTTCTTTTTGCAGCGCAGGAAGTTTAATTCAGTGTATAGTTTAAAGCTGCAGTACGGAGGGTCTGCTACGTACTTGTCTCCATGGTGATGTTATTTCTTTGCATGGAATATTCCAAAGTAGGGCATTAAACTTATCTGCCTTGCGTGTACGTTCAAGGCAAAGCAGTTACATCTCCATGGAGACAAGCAGGTGGTCGATCTTCCACCAGAAAACACACACGTTTAAAGCTAAACTGTGTAACTTTCTGGAGCTTTCTTGGCTAAAAAGTTACATACTGTGGCTTTAAATTCCAACAGTCTGAGGGTCTGTTTACACGAAAACGCTTGCAGGTAAAAATGACAAAATATTTTATCGGAATCCGTGTATCATTCTTTCATTCGTTTTTCAAAATAAAATCAAAAATAAGAAAATTTTTAAAACAACTATTTTCTTCTTTATTTGCCTCCAAAACCAAAATGAAAAAATGGATAACGATTAGTTTTTTCATTTTTCGATTTTGTGTTTAAGTGAATAACGGAAAAAAACTGATAACGGCCGTTTCTCGTTTCCGTGATTAAACTGCGACGCCGAACTGAACCAGGACTGAAAACAGGACTAAACCGTGACTAAAGCAGGTCTAAACTGGTCCTAGTCTCAGTCCCGGTCTCCGTTCTGGTCCTGGTCTCCTGGTCTCCTTCTTGTCGGGACTGGCCCGGACGTGCACCCGTGTAGACTGTTGGGTGATCAGGAAACCGGGACCAGACTAGATCCAGACCGGGACTGAGACCAGGACTGGGACCTGGTTTAGTCCTGATTCAGTTCTGTTTTAGAGCTGGTTTAGACCTGTTCAGTCCTGTTTTAGTCCTGGTTTAGTCCATATGCGGCGCAAAAGTCCGGCATTGCAGTTTAAGTCACGAAAATGGGAAACGGCTTTTATCTGTTTTTTCATTAATAGAAAATAGTTGTTTTTTTGTTTTCTTATTTTTAGTTTTATTTTGAAAAATGAATGAATGAATGATAAACGGATTTATCGGAAGTGCCTTTCGTTTCGACGGTGATGGCGTTGTTGGGGCAAAAATCTGAAACCACCCTCCAGAGTGGAAAAGTTTAATATACTTCGCCGTAGTGTTTCACTGTTGCACTGCCCAAGACGCAAAACTCTGGTCAGATCTGCTCAGGTCATGTACATGTTTACGTCACATACATACAGAACAAAGAAACAAACATGTCGGATCATTTCCATGCGTCGGACCTTCGAGCTGCATCCCAACAAATGTACAGAATCTGCAGAGATACCGTATTTTCCGGGCTCATAGGCGCTCTGGATTATCATTAAATGGTCTATTTTCGAGCTTTTTTCACAAATAAACCGCACCGGACTTTAAACGAAACCCAACAGTGTGATGGGTGAGTGGTTTTGTTTGTTTGTTCGTTCACGGTGACTCTGGGCTTTGTTCAGTTGTGGCGTGTAGGGAGGGTGTGTCTGGGACCAACGGATTGTCGGCGTGTTCGCAGTGACTCAGTTGTTCAGTCGTGTCTAGAAGCGGCACATTGCGCTCGCTTTTTCGGTTCGTTCCTCCGTTCCGTTCCTCGTCGGCGTGGGAGTGATGAGTGTGTCTGTGGGTGTTTGTCGCTGTGCGGTCGCTGTCTGCTCCGTGTGTGTTTGCGTGTTCTGGGGGTGGTGCGGCTTTGTAGTTCACTGAAGTCGCGCTGGGACACCTGAGTGGGGTTGGAGGCTTAAGATTGCGCCTAATAGCCCGGAAAATACGGTGCTATTAGTGAACAGAGAAGGATCTACAATCACCTCTGTCAAATTCTGGATGCACCAGGTCATCGCAGTCGAGTCAGAGGGATCTGGACGAGACCTGGAGAGCCAGTCGATGGTGGGACGACTTTGTGGAAGGAGTAGTTGACGAAAACGCGCGGCGTGAAAACTTTCGTATGTCCAAAGTTTCCCTTGTTGCTTTAAGTACAAACATAAACAATCGAATTCCACACACTTTTGCGTCACCGTATGGACGCAGATTTGCTCCAGAAAACACTGGTCTAAACGCCGAATAAAAAGTGAAGACGCGACGCCGCTTTTTAAACTTTTTAAACCAGAAAAAACTGCACAAAAAGGTCCTACTACTCCTCTACTTCTACTCCTACTATTCCTTCTCCTACTTCTACTCCTACTCCTCCTACTTCTACTACTACTCCTACTTCTACTCCTACTCCTCCTACTTCTACTACTACTCCTACTTCCTACTACTACTATTCCTTCTCCTACTTCTACTCCTACTACTTCTACTACTACTATTCCTTCTCCTACTTCTACTCCTACTACTACTCCTACTTCTACTCCTACTCCTCCTACTACTCTACTACTACTCCTACTCCTCCTACTACTACTATTCCTTCTCCTACTTCTACTCCTACTCTACTCCTACTACTTCTACTCCTACTCCTCCTACTTCTACTACTCCTACTCCTACTTCTACTACTACTCCTACTCCTACTCCTCCTACTTCTACTACTACTCCTACTTCTACTTCTAAACACTGGTCTAAACGCCGAATAAAAAGTGCAGACGCGACGCCGCTTTTTAAACTTTTTAAACCAGAAAAAACTGCACAAAAAGGTGAACTGTGCAGCTTTGGCACAGCTTGGGTGCGTGTGCCAGCTGCTCGCCTTTATTGAGATGTTGTTGCTGCAAACTTTGAAAAACAGCATCTCCACAGATCTGACTTGTAACTTGGCATGGTCACCTTCCACCAAAAAAGTTACATGTTGCAGCTTTAGTATTACTTATTCCGTTCACACGCCTCCAGTCTGGTCCTGGTTCAGTCAGTACTTGGGTGTGTTCACATCTGGTTGTAGTCTAGTTTAGTCCCAGTATCATGGGTCCAGTCCTGGTCTAGTCCTGGTCTAGTCCTGGTCTAGTCCGTGTTCGTCGGTGTAAATCTTCGTCGAGCGTCTGAGGCTCATGTGGAGATCATGTGAGAGACAGAGAGAGAGAGAGAGAGAGGAGTCGCTCTGTTTTTAATAAATGAAACGTCACATTTTTATCACATGTTTTACGCTTCTTATTTACTCAACAACAGATTAGATCCTTCTGAAAATAAATAAATACTCCCACTCACAGATGAAACTTATGACCGACATTTCCTGAGGGTGTGATGCTAACCGAAAGCACTGCCCTGTCTGAAGATCTGTTACTCAAGTTAGCAGAGATGTAACGATATCCAAACCTCTCAGTACGAAATTATCACGATATTTATTACGATATTTTGTCTGATATAATTGTAGATATGATGCTGTTTTGCTTTTAAAATACCTTGATAAGATTTTGGTGTGAATTATTTCCATCATAATCCGAAGAATTCGAGTCAAAAACATATTTCTTCATGTTGCTTGCGCTGAAATGAATCATGGGAAATGTAGTTCTCGGTGTTTATAAGCTGTTGCTGCTATAAAACCTGCATTTAAGCAAAGGAACTTGTGATTCAATATATTGTGACGGTCCACGATATTATTGTGAGACTTTTGACGATACGATATCACGATATATCGGTTATTGTTAAATCCCTACAAGTGTTGGGAGCAACGCGTTATAAAAGTATTGAGTTACTGTAATGTGTTGCTTTTTGCTGTAATGAAGTAATGTGGCATAAAAAAATGTAATATTTTACTTGGTACAAATATCAATAATGAGCGTCACAATGCATTTTTAACCTGGATTGAAGTGGTGGGTTTTTCGTTCTTTTTTTTTGTTTGTTTTTTTGTCATACAAATTCACTAAAATCAAATGCCATTGTTACTGTTCTGAATGTTGGGACGGGCATGGGCTCCACGGGCTCGGGGTTCTCTCAGGGGTGGTCCTAGATTCCAAGTCTTAGTCCAAGATTAGTCCTGGTTCAGCTCTGGTTTAGACCTGGTTCAGACCTCAGTTCAGCCCTGGTTTAGACCTGGTTCAGCTCTGGTTTAGTCCTACTTTTAGTGCTGGTTTAGTCCTTGGTTCAGTCCTGGTTTAGACCTGATTCAGTCCTGTTTTAGTCCTGGATCAGTTCTTGGTTCAGTCCTCAGTACAGTCCTCAGTTCAGTGCTCGGTTCAGTCCTGGTTTAGTCCTGGTTTAGTCCTGTTTAGTCCTTGGTTCAGTCCTGGTTTAGTCCTTGTTCAGTCCTTGGTTCAGTCCTGTTTTAGTCCTGTTCAGTCCTCGGTTCAGTCCTTGGTTCAGTCCTGGTTTAGTCCTTGTTCAGTCCTTGGTTCAGCTCTGGTTTAGTCCTACTTTTAGTGCTGGTTTAGTCCTTGGTTCAGTCCTGGTTTAGACCTGGTTCAGTCCTGTTTTAGTCCTGGATCAGTTCTTGGTTCAGTCCTTGGTTCAGTCCTCAGTTCAGTCCTCAGTTCAGTCCTCGGTTCAGTCCTCGGTTCAGTCCTCGGTTCAGTCCTGGTTTAGTCCTGGTTTAGTCCTTATTCAGTCCTTGGTTCAGTCCTGTTTTAGTCCTGTTCAGTCCTCGGTTCAGTCCTGGTTTAGTCCTTGTTCAGTCCTTGGTTCAGTCCTGTTTTAGTCCTGGTTTAGTCCTGGTTTAGTCCTGTTTAGTCCTTGGTTCAGTCCTGGTTTAGTCCTTGTTCAGTCCTTGGTTCAGTCCTGTTTTAGTCCTTGTTCAGTCCTTGGTACAGTCCTGTTTTAGTCCTGGTTTAGTCCTAGTTCAGTCCTGGTTCAGCATTGGTTTAGTCCTGGTTCAGTCCTGGTTTAGTCCTTGTTCAGTCCTTGGTTCAGTCCTGGTTTAGTCCTGTTTTAGTCCTGGTTTAGTCCTAGTTCAGTCCTGGTTCAGCATTGGTTTAGTCCTGGTCTAGTCCTGGTTCAGTCCTGGTTCAGCTCTGGTTTAGACCTGGTTTAGACTTTAATCTGATCTTTATTTTAACACAATCTGAGCAGAAAGAGTTGACCGGGCTGGAACTACAACATCTTAACACTTAAAACTGCTGATTGTGTGCGTTGTGTCACCATGGTAACTGCTGGACATTCCACCCATAGACTTACGTGTAGAAAGTATAACTAATATTATGGGGTTTCCGTGCGTTCTCCTCCCCAGACGTCGAACCACGGCGGCTGGAGCTCGTGGGGGCCGTGGGGCTCGTGCTCTCGCTCGTGTGGGGGAGGAGTGCAGTTCGCCCAACGACTCTGCAACAACCCGCCCCCTAGGAACAACGGGCGGTACTGCACGGGCAAGAGGGCCGTGTACAGGTCCTGCAACGGCACGCCATGTCCGCCCACTGGTGAGGCACTGGAGTACTCATGTGACTGTTACTACTACTACTACTACTCCTACCGCTACTGCAAGTACTAACATAAGTACTGTTACAACCACACCACGGGTACAGTTACAACAGCAACTACTACTAACATAAATATAAAACATGAAAAACACACTATAAGTTCTACTCCTACTGCTATTACTACTCCTACTCTTACTGCTACTACTACTGCTACTCCTAGTACTACTACACCTACGTCTACTACTACTCCTACTTCTACTACTTTCCTACTTCTATTACTACTCCTACTCCTATTTCTACTCCTACTCCTCCTACTTCTACTCCTCCTGCTTCTACTGCTACTCCTACTTCTACTACACCTACTACTACTCCTACTTCTACTACTACTCCTACTTCTACTACTACTATTCCTTCTCCTACTTCTACTCCTACTCCTACTTCTACTACTACTACTCCTACTCCTCCTACTTCTACTGCTACTCCTACTTCTACTACTACTCCTACTTCTACTACTACTACTTTCCTTCTCCTACTTCTACTACTACTACTCCTACTCCTCCTACTCTACTACTACTTCTACTCCTACTCCTACTACTCCTACTGCTACTCCTACTTCTTCTACTACTACTCTCCTACTTCTACTACTACTATCCTACTCCTACTCCTACTTCCTACTCTACTTCTACTACTACTACTCCTACTCCTCCTACTTCTACTACTACTTCTACTCCTACTCCTCCTACTTCTACTGCTACTCCTCCTACTCCTACTACTCTACTCCTACTACTCTCTACTCCTACTACCTACTCTACTCTACTACTCCTACTTCTACTGCTACTCCTCCTACTCCTATTTCTACTCCTACTCCTCCTACTACTCCTACTCCTCCTACTTCTACTCCTACTACTACTCCTACTCCTACTCCTACTCCTCCTACTCCTTCTACTCCTACTCCTCCTACTCCTCCTACTACTACTCCTACTTCTACTACTACTACTTCCTACTCCTACTTCTACTCCTACTCCTACTTCTACTACTACTCCTACTTCTACTACTACTACTCTACTTACTACTTCCTACTCCTACTTCTACTCCTACTACTACTCCTACTTCTACTCCTCCTACTCTACTCCTACTACTTCTACTACTACTCCTACTTCTACTACTACTACTTCTTCTCTACTTTCTACTACTTCCTACTTCTACTTCTACTACTACTACTCTACTACTCCTCCTACTTCTACTTCTACTCCTACTTCCTACTTCTACTACTCCTACTCTACTCCTACTACTCCTACTTCTACTCCTACTCCTCCTACTTCTACTACTACTCCTACTTCTACTCCTACTCCTCCTACTCCTACTTCTACTCCTACTCCTCCTACTTCTAACTACTACTACTCCTACCCTCCTACTTCTACTGCTACTCCTACTTCTACTACTACTCCTACTTCTACTACTACTATTCCTTCTCCTACTTCTACTCCTACTCCTACTTCTACTTCTACTCCTACTTCTAATTCTACTCCTACTCCTCCTACTACTCCTACTTCTACTGCTACTCCTCCTACTCCTCTTACTCCTACTACTACTACTACTCCTATAACTACTCCTGCTACTACTACTACTACTCCTCCTATTATTACAACCACTACTACAATTACAACAACTACACTTAATACTACTAACACATGACTAAACACAATAACTCCTGCTACTACAACTTCAACTACAACAAATATTACTACTACTATTGGCAAAAATCTGATAAACCATTTAGGGAAGAGAAACACTGTTTAAAGATATAAGATAAAGATAAGGTAAAATGATAAGATGAGTAGAAGTCCTATTGAACCACAGTCATTTCATTGATTCCCGTCTGTGTTTTCCAGTGAAGAGTTTCCGAGAGGAGCAGTGTGAAGTGCGTAACGGGCCTCAGACCGACCCTAAAGGAGTGAAGACGTTTGTGGAGTGGGTCCCCAAATACGCCGGAGTCCTGCCCAAAGACATGTGCAAACTCACCTGCAGGGCCAAAGGGACGGGATACTACGTGGTCTTCTCTCAGAGGGTAAGGCTCTTATTCTAACGGACGTGTTTGTGGGACTTAGTGGTACAGCTTATCCTCACAGCGAGAGGGTCCCAGGTTTGACTCTTTATTAAGGGAAAAAGACTGCAGTGGGTCTTGTTACTTTGACTTTAATTCTTGCGGCCTCTGCATTAAAGCCGCACCACGTAGAGTCTGAGCCACGGGTTGTGCATGAAAAACGACTTGTTATGTTGTTACCTTCTCGAAAACATCCTCGGAGTCGTGCCGCACATGACATCACAAGGTGGAACGGTGTGTTTTCAGTCTGAGAGAAGAGCTCAGCCTAAATATGCAGAGTTTGTGTGTGAATCGTGAGTCTGGCGCCACCTAGTGCCTCCGCTCAATTTCATTTCTCTCCAACGACTAGGTCAGGAATCAGAAAACACTAGACAGTTTGCAAGAGCCTCAGAAGTTGTAGACCGCGCACTGGCCAATCAACAAAGAGCCGAACCAACCCGAGTTGTGACAGCAGACTACAAACTGCATACACTAATCCTCCTTTGGACTTCCTTTGTCAAATACAAACTTCGCATTTTTTATTCCACCTTTAATTCGCAAGTTCACCTCGGACAGACACGTTCACTCTCTGCTTTATTTGCTGTTGTGCAATTGCTTGGAAATCACTGAGCGTTCCAGCGTCACAACCAAACGTCACGACCAAACAACAGTGATTGGTTAAATTTTTAAAAAGTACCTGCCTACAGTCGAGCGAACGAATCCTAATGCTGCGAGGTCAGACGGTTTCCACGATATGAAACCAGCAGCTAAACAAAACACAACTCCAGGTCTGTTTATGATGAGTAAACAACATTATAACAAGGGCTGTGCGAAAATATCGAAATATTGTATCGTTTAATGTGATGATACAGTATTGATATCGTGGGCTGCTGTATCATATTTTTTTGGTTTATTTTACTAACTTATTTTGTTACAGCTACAGTTTTGTTGCTTGTTTAGAGGAAGGAAACATTGACATTTTCACTGTTTTGATGAGTAAAATGTTTGTGTTTCATATGAACTTTACACAAGAAGTGGTTTAACAAAGACTTTTAGTATCACAGCCATGATTTAGCCTTTTTTTTTTATTGAAGCGTATCGAATCGTTGTAAATTATATCGAATCGAATCGAAAGTGCACTGTACCGAGATATGTATTGTATCGTGATCTGTGTATCGAGGTATGTATCGTATCGGCAATTTCTTAAAGGTTGTATGGAGGATTTTTTTTTGTTTTAAATTGTCAATGATAGATTATAGAGATGCAGTCGCCTTGTAATTATGATGACCAAAAAAAAAGAATAAAAATTCATCAACTCTGGACGTGGTGGGGCTAAACATTTGCCAATAGATAACGACACTGCCTCGTTATCTGTGAGCTGACAGGCTGTCAATCAAACTCCCTACGTTTCTAGTGTAACTGACTTGCCTGCGCCGCCGGTACGTGGTTTACGTACGACTGTCACGCAGTCCACAGACGCAAGACGCACAGACGCTGTTTACTCCACCAACGCAACAGTTCTTAGCGGCTTTTTTTGACCTATATCTTCCTCGCAGTTCGCACAAAGTTTGTTGCGATGGCGACAAGAATCCAGGAGCAGTTCGCCGCAAAAGAAAGTCCGTTTTTGAGGTCGCTGAAAGAAGAAGACAAGGGGAAAAGCAGCGAAGCCAAACTAAGGTGATTCTTGAAGATTCATTCCAGCGATGGCAAGACTGCGACTGAAGCAGAAACTGCAGGGTCTAAAGCGACTGAAAACGAACGCACTGGTTCATTCCACAAATCTACTCCTGGACAGGAAACTTCTGCTTAACTTATTATGAAAACGTACTTTATTTCGTACTTTAAATCCTCTATACAACCTTTAATGACACCCAGCCCTAATTATAACATAGATCATAAAATAGTGTAATATGGGTTCTTTAAATATGTGTACTTGTTTATATTTCAGGTGTGTGTTAAATCTGTTGTTGTTGTTGTTTATCTTTCAGGTAGTGGACGGTACAGAGTGTCGTCCCTTCAGCAGCTCCGTGTGTGTCAAAGGGAAGTGTGTGAGGACGGGCTGCGACGGGATCATCGGCTCCAAGCTCCAGTTCGATAAGTGCGGCGTGTGTGGAGGAGACAGCACCTCCTGTGTGAAGGTCATGGGCAACTTCACCAAGAGGAGGTACGACACTACTTTAACTTATGGGAAATGCCCTAACATGTTAATATAAGAACACAATTTGATGCCAGAATTGCTAAGAACAAATCTGCAGATGGTTTGTGGTCTCTGCCTGTGATGCAACAATCCTGGAAAACTTTAAACTCAAGTGGTTTGTGACCAGTCAAGGGGACTTACTTCAAAAGATCAGACATTACAGTGGCCATGATGTTTTTTTAATTCCGAATTAACTGTTCTGAATTAAAATATTCTCCTTCGAGTTTACATGGAAATAATAATTCCGAATCGAGGTTTACAAGGAAAACTCGTTGAATCGTGTTTATTTAATTCCGCTCTGGGGGTGGGGAAGGGTTCTGATTGGACAGAGACACGAACGAATCTACATCGACCGGAAGAAAACGCACACTTCAGCTGCTACTGGATTTTCTGTCATCTCGGTTTGTCGTTACGCCGCGGACACAAACACGATCCGAACTTTTTCCGTTGTCGTTCCGATGATAATGAAGCCGCAGCTGGAGAATTCTCTCATCACGCTTTAGGAAAAGGGAAGAGCGTCGGAGAAGGGAGGAAGAAGACAAACTGAGTCAACGGCAGCTCTACCTCAGCCCAACCCGCATCCCGCTCGCAAATCCAAAGAGACGTGGAGGAAAGTCCGAAGCCAGGACTGGTGGAGCCGGATCGAAGGGCGACACAACGAGCATGCGCTGAACGACCGGAATTATATTGAAGAAGAATAAACGAGAAATAAATTAGTTCGGCTTTAAAATCGGAATAAACTACCCACTTACTTCAGAATTAAGTTTAATTCCGAATAATCATTTTCATTAGAAATTGAATGTTTACATGGACTTTTTAAAGCAGAATTAAATTATTTTTATTCAGAATTAAATTATTTTTATTCTGAATTAAGCTCTCATGTAAATGTGGCAGCCAATAATGAAACAAAACTCAACTCCAGGTCTGTTTTTGATGAGGAAACTACATTAACACAGACCAGAAAATAGCGAAATATTGGCGTTTTAAGTGTCTTTCAGTTTCTACCTTCTCCTCTCCATGTTCTGATCTTCTCTCTCTTTCTTTTTCTGGTTTGGGTCTGGTGGGGGGTATGCGTCGTCGTCGTGCAGTAAGGCTAGGAACTGCATATATCCGGACGTTGGTGAGATCCCGCGCTGTGTTGGAGCCGACGGTCGGTGACCGGTGGATGATGGTTTTCGGAAGGGTGGAGATATCTGAATCTTCATCATTCATTCTACCCACGTTGAGGAGACATGTACAAACGCGCGTCCCAGAGGCCAGTGCATGGAGGCATTAGGCCCTAATAGAACCAAGACCAGGTACCTCCAGCAACGGGGCGGTAGCTCTGAGAGTTCACACCTGGTCTGGTTTTATCGGCTTGTGCTCGGTCGGAACTTTGATGTGAGTGGGCCGTGGCCGGATCTTCACCGCGACGTCCGTGTAGCCCTTACTGGCCCAGACGGAGACGGAAGCGATGAAGAGTCCCAGAAACATTCGCATCAAAACGAGAAGGGGTGAAGAAAAGCTGATTAAAGAATCAGAACTTTAAAACCGCACCATTCGATGTGAAACCATCATTCCGCACTCTATTAAGTTTCATGGTCTGTTAACTGTAGTTTCCACTTCATAACGGACGTGAGAGTTCCTGTTTTTGTTTCATATTGGCTGCCCACATTTACATGAGGGCTTTTCAGATAATAATTTAATTTCTGAAATAAAATAATTAAATTCCTGCCCTTTTAAAGTAGCTCCATCATAAACACTCTACCAACATTTCCATAATGAAAATGATTATATCGGGCGAGATTGAGAACCCATTAATTCTGCACAAGTCGAGGTGGATCAGATTTTTGGCTTCCCGCATTCTAGACAAGCACTGGAACTGGAGAGCTTTCACTTCCTCCGGGGTCTGTATCCTCTATCCTTCCAATCACAAATTCCGTCGTTCCAGCTCATGCTCGTTGTGTCGCCCTTCGATCCTGGCATCACACCAGCTCCTGGCTCGGCGACCTTTCCTCTCCGCGTTCGACTTTGGACTTATGGCGAGCGGGAGAATGCGCGAGCGGCGAACCTGAGGAGCCCGAGCAGGCCAACACGTTGAGAACGTCCAGTTTGTCTCCTCCTCCTTCTCCGGCGCTCTGTCCCTTTTCCTAAAAGCCGGCATCCTGAGAGACTAACGCTAACTAGCTTTTACTTATTTGCCACAGACCTCCTCTCTCGCTCGGCCCTGCGGCCTCTCAAAAACTTACTATACAACAATATCCTAGCCCCGAACACAGGGACTTTGGATTTGAGTGTTTGTCGTCACTACGTCCGGTCGTAAACGACAAAAACTCGGAGAATGAAAGAAACCTAGTAAGCCAGCTGAAAGTGTGTGTTTCTTCCGGATCGCATAGCTATAGATTCGTACTTTCGTGTCTCTAGCGAGTCCAATACATACACCTTCCCCACCCACGACGCGTAATTAAATAACACACGATTACGAGATCTATCTCCTTGCTAGACACAACCTAATCAGGATATATAGTTATTTACCACCATGTAGAGATCACCAAGGAGAATATTTAAATGCTCAGACAATATATTGTGATAAAAATCTAAAAGAGAACTATCCAATGGCCACTGTAAATTGTTGATCCTTGTGCAAGTAGAGTCCCCTTGACTGGTCGACCATATACCGGGGACGTTTAAAAATTGTCGGCAGGACTTGTTGCATCACAGGCCAGAGAACACGAAAAGCTCGGCTGTGCAGAGTTTGTTCATTACGGGGCGAATTATGGCGATTAACGAATTGGATGTCTATAATTAATCAACTGTCTCTAGGGAAATTTCCCATAAAGTTGTTATAATATAAACCGTGCGCTGTCAACCATCAGCCTGACGTATGGAAACGTTGTTGGCCCATTTTTTGTACAGATTTGTCCGCAGCCTTCGGGACAACAATGGTAAGGTTCTCGCTCTAACACCGTCGACGACACCGGGCCGCATTGACGGCAAGCCTTTGAGGGCCGAATGAATCCCAAGTTCCTGACCTGCCGCGTTCAGTCGCAGCCCACGATCCCTTGCCACACACTTCCCTTCTGACATCACCACAGAGCTGACTAGAAGGGTACGGTTACACTCTGATCCCGATCACACTACCTAAAATAAGATATCACTGAGCAACATCTTAGAGATGTACTCTACTACTCACTCTGAATATATACAGTTACATTTTTTCTTATTTAAAGATATCCCTATTACGACACCTATATTTATGTATCTATGTGATCTTAATAATAAGGCATGTGTATACAATGCTTGTGAGTAAAGTTGTCTAATAGGAAAGGATTAAAGGTACAAAAGCAAAAGTACGATTTGTTTATAAATTAATAAGATGTAAGTCAGGGAAGTTTCTTATGTCGCATGAGTATTTTGTGACGAAGTGAGTTAGTCTTTTAAACACGCGGGCGCTGGGGGGTCTGCGTTTACAAGATCCAGCGGGCTCGACACTGCGTTATTCGCCAAAAACGGTCAATCACACAGTATCATCCTTTTGATGGACTCTCACGGAGGTCTGTCTTACTATGCCTTGGATACATTCTTTTCTTTTATGACGCGATTCCATTCATCGGATCTTATCTTCTGCCGGCAACTGCTCCCACTGGATTTTCTTGTCGGCCATCTGCAAATCAAAAACTTTTGTGCCGTAACTGAGAGAGGCACATGATATAGGTCAATAAAAAGCGCTTATATATTTGTTTTGCCGCTGTGAATGAGAGTATAAATGGTATTACAGCAAGAGAGACTGAAGCGAATCTTGTTGCGTGTCTCAGCGAGAACTTGTGTGACAGTCTACGTACCACTTGTATCCCGGCGGCGCAGGCAAAGTAGTTACACCTGACCAAACTAGAAACGTAGGGTAAGACTTGGATTGACAAACAGCCTGAAAGCAATTTCACAGAATAACGAGAGCAGTTGTCCGATATCTGAGACTAATATGCTTCAAATGCCTACCATTCGTCCAGAGTTGATTCTATATGTATTTCAAATAATTCTTTTATTTTATTTGGTCAATCAAATCACAATATTACAGGCTACTGATTCTACTAATCTCATTGACAATAGTTAAAAACAACACAAAAATATTCCTAACATAGAAACCTTTTAAGAATTGCGATACGATACTTACTCTCGTAACACAGAATCAACGAAAATACAATCTAATTTTATTATAATCCTGGTACGTGCACTGTTCGCATTCGAGATTCGAATTAATATTTGTAAGAGAGTCGATATCGACTTCATATATATGCTATATAATTGGCTGTAGATATCTCTAAATATGTTTTTGGTGGAATTCTAAATAAATTTTACATCTAACTTAAAAATACCCTACTTTCTTGTTTTAAAATATGTTCCATAAGACCACAAGACATTTACTCATTTTCCCAAAAACACAAGAATGAATAATTGTCGTGTTTTCCTTCCTCTAAACAAGCACAAAACGTAGGTGTAACAAAAAATAAAGTTCGTAATAAATAAACCAAAATAAAATGATACAGCAAGCCCACGGATATCAATACTTTGTCTCTATCAAATCACATTTTAATCTCTATACATTTATATTCTCGGAATATTCTTAAATTTGTAATCAAGCACAGCCCTTGTTAATTAATTTTCGATTTATCCTATACAGGCGATCTGTTTTTTGTATATAAGCTGTCTGTTTTACTTCTTTTATCGATTTGGTACACATATTCATATGCGCTACGACCATACTTATGGTCGCACTCTCAGCAATATAGTGGTATTCGTTTCTCGCTTGAACACTCGTCTAGGGCCCAGTTATTTTTTTTACAAATTTAACCAATCACTGTGTTTGGTCGTGAACGTCTTGGTTAACTTCCAATTTTTGTGTTAACCTATGTTCTGGCTCACCCAAGCAAAACTTCTAGCAAGACAATTTTGAGGAATATCGCTTCAGTTTTTTTTTGTCTTGAATGATTATAATTGCATAAGTTACTGAGCTCATTGTCTACACACACAGCAAATAATATAAGCATGATGTGAAGTGTGCTGATCCGATTGAAGTGTGATACTTTGCTGAATTGGAATAGCGTGGAAACAATTTTATTAAAAAATTGCGAAGTTGAAGAAATTCGTATATTCTTGACAAATTGGAAAGAATTCTAGGAGGTATAGGTGTTGTCTGAGCACATATGTTTGTTAGTCCTGCTAGACATATCTCACACTGGGATTGGGTATCAAGGCTCTATTTTTGTTGGAGTGTCGCTAATGGTTGTGCACGTACCATCAGAACTCTAGGTTTGTCTTGCCCAAACCCTGTCATTAAGATGTTTTTCTAGATTCTGAACTCGATAAGTTGCCGTCTTGCGTAAGAGATTAAAGTCGCGTAGCGGGGAACTGCTTCATGGAGGGACTAGGATGGCAGCCCAGACTCACGATATATCACAACATAATTTCGATCAACCTAAGGCTGTAAGAACTCTCTCTATCAGACTGATAAAAACTACTAAACCAGGTATCCTATCCTTGTGATGTCAAACTAGCGGGCACGACCGAGGATGTTTTCGAGAAGTGTAAATATATCAATAACAAAGTTCCGTTTTTACTGTGCACAACCCGTGGCTGCACGAACTCTCACTGGTCGCGGCGCTTAATGCTAAGAGGACTGCAAGAATCAAAGACAGAGTAACAAAGACCTATCTGCAAGATCCTATATTTTACCATTAATAAAAGGTATCTAAACCTGGGACCCTTCTCGCTTGTGAGGATAAGCTGCACCCCACAAAAAGTCCCTGCCAAACATCGGTCTCCGTTAGAATAACGAAGCCTGTAGCCGCTCGTGAAAGACCACACACGCTTCCGCTCATCCCGCCCCCCTTTCTGGCCCCGCAGGATGAAGATTTGGCACAATGTCTCTTGGGCAGCACTGTAGCGAACTTCGGAGGCTCGTGAATTAAGTTTTGGGCGCGACCTCACTCCACAAAGCGTCTTTACAACTCCTCGTCTCTTAGGGTCGGTTCCTGAGAGCCCGCTTTATCCATTCACCCTCGCGTGAGCTCTTTACGCGAAACTCCTTCACTGGAAAAATCATCCAGAGGAGGAATTCCAAAAATGTAAATAGACCTGTGGGTTCAATAGGACTTCTAACTCATTCTTATGGCAATATTTTAACCTTAATTCTTTTTTCATTACGATCAATAAAGCAACATCTATTATCACATGGAGAACCAGGAAGCTTAATTACATCCTTATATGATGGTATATTGTTTTGAATTCTGTCAGTGTAGTTTTCATTTTTATTGTGTCAGGTTAGTTAAGTTAGTTAAGAGACGTTAAGATGTGGTTTTAGTTAATAGAGTTGGCGGTTAGTATATGTATGATAACAGGTTGTATTCGTTAGTTGTACATTGTAGTGTTAAGTGGTTTGTTAATTAATAGGAGGATGTAGCTATGTGTAGGTATATCGGTGACTTAGGTTGTGTTTATGGAGTTGGATGGTATGTAGTGTGGGAAAGGTAGTTGTTAGGTTGATTGGTTTTTTTTTATTGTTAAGCATCAGTGTTTGAAAGTGGATATGTGTATACAAGTGATTGCGGCACTGTGCATGTGCAGGAAGTTGGGTTCATGAGTGGAGAGTAAGGGCGTGAGAGAGAATGAGAAATAGTCGAAGATTGTTTGCAGGCGTGAAAAGTAAAGAAGTTGATGATAGGTTGCTGAGGTAGCCGTAGTGAGTAGTGGGACTGTGGACATGGTAACGCTATGTGTAAAGATCAGATATGAGTAGTGAGGATGTGCTGCAACGCGAAGGTTGAGATAGTAGCGACGTAGGAGAGGAGTACCGAAGAAGTGCAAAAAATTCAGAGTAAATGTATTAGAAGATAGAGGACGTAGGCGAAGTGAGAAAAAAGTATGAAAGGTAGGGACAGAGAGGAAAGGAGTATTTGTAAAGGTAAAAGAATATGTGAGATGTGAGTAGTAATGAAGTAGAAGTTGGATTGTAAGGTAGTGAGTAAAGTTAAGAAAGGTAGCAAGTACGCATGTAGTCATCAGGAAGTCAGAACTATTAAGTAAAGAAAAACTAGTTAGTGAGGGCTATTTGAAGTAGGAGCAAGAGTCAAGAAGTAGGAGGGTTCACGTGAAGTAAGAAATAAAGTTAGGAGAAGTAGTAGGTAGTTTAGTATAAATAGAGTGATGTAGGAAGTAAAGTAGTAATGTAGTTAGATTAAGTAGGAGTTAGAGAATAGAATGTAAGGAGTAGGAAGTAGATTCCAGATAGGAGCGAAAGGAAATAGTCATAATGTTTTTTAAGTAGAGGTAGCAGTAGTAGTGCAGGCACGTATAGGTTGAGAGTAGTCACAGAATCTGAGGAAAATGAGGTAGTTTGAAGAATAGGAGCAGTGAGTGAGTAAGTAGTGAAGTAGGAGGAGTAAGGAGCAGTACGACTTCAAAGTATTTAGCAAGAGTTATGATTATAGGTATCTACAGCATGCAGAGGTAGTAGCAATTAGAGTGGATATGTAGCAAAAGGACAGTCAGTGTATTAATGACTAAAGATATGGAGGACGACTGGAAATTTTTGAAGAAGAACATAGTAGTAGTGTATTTGGCATGTATCAGAAAATTAGAAAGTGGAATGTGATTAGAGTAGTCCAAAGTAGTAGTTATATGAATTTAGGCAGGCATATGGAGGTATAAGTTTATAGAGTATATGTAAACATAATGTTTAGGGAGAAGTTGTTGAGGAAGTACATAAACTTGGATGAAGGAATATTTATGTAGTAACGAAGAATAAGCAGCTAGTCTAAATTTATGTATTAGTTTATTAACGTAATATGATCAAACATATAAGTTACTAGCGTAGCCCGGAAATTATATTGGGCTAGTTATGGCGCAGAGATTATTGATGTGTTGTCTAGTATATTGTATAGTTGTTATGTGAATAAGTAGAAAAAAAAAAAAAAGGGGGGTTTTCACTGACAAAATTCTACAGGAATTATTTAATGAAAT